ATGGCGAGTGACCTGACCCAAGCTCCCAAGCTCGATTCAGTGACCTTCCGGTTCTGAGTGGTATGACGATCTGTCGATGAGCAATCCGGATCTTGAACAATTACAAATACATCTTACATTATGACGTCATACACTGTGCAGCTAGAATCGGCATGCAACAATAAACTCATCATCTGCATCAGACAAAAGACGACTTAAAAAACTTCTATATGCCAGCTTTAAGCCTGAGGGCACGAAGTTAAGTTTCATTCCCAGAGTCGTGTCAAAAATGAAATCTGTGCAAGAAGAGAAAATAATCGTCTACCTGCAGTATCCACCGGCGAATGCAGAGCCAGAACCGTTAGCTGCCGCCGCTGTTAGACAGTTCAAGTACGAGGACAAACAAGAGACACCGGGTCTCGCGTAGGCTGACACGTCGCACACCACCGGCGAAACGGAGGACGAGCTTTTCGCGCCCGGCGAGTTATGCAGCAGCCCATCCACACCGCCGCATCCACCGTGGTTCTTAGAGAACGAGCATTTGAAGTGGCTTGGCGCACACTTGAAGCAAAACAACTGTTTGCATCCGTCGCATGAATACTTGCTCTTGCTTACAGCGTATTCCGCGCAGCACACCCGAGTACTCGGCGGTAAATAATGAGGTAATAGCGGAAGAACGACATTACTTATGTCAATTTTTCGCAACGATGAGCAGATGCTTAAAGAAGACAGCTGTGGAACAACGGAGGTATGAGAATTTTGACCATTTGTAGCTTTCACCTGAAAATCATAGGCATTAGTAATAATACCGTATTCACAAACTGGAAAAAATACAAAACTAGCAAATCTGCTTGGCATGTCCGCATTTAAAAGAATAACGTTACATACTACATCGAAAGCAATTTCATGAATAGATCACTATGGCTTGACGAATTCAACTTCAGAAGAACATTCGCGAGGGACCAAAATACAGTGGGGCGATAATGACATGGTAATATTTCATATAGCAAAAACAATGCGAAAAAATGCAGGGCAAGTCAGTGGAAATGAAGGATGAAGGCTGCTACGGTTTCATTCAAAATTTATTACGTACGATGGTTGTCAGTCTTTACGAAGAATGAGTTTTAGTACAACTTAGAAAACAAAACTTCATTAATTCTAAACTCTGTCATTTGAAATTTCGCAGTCAGAAATTTATTTTAAATTTAAGACTGAATAGTCAAAATTTATAAATAAACAAAACCCTATGATTCGCAGTTCAAAGAATTTACTCCGCTTTTACAATATTAGTACGTTTGATTGTGAATAACTGGAAATAAAATCCAAGAATACAATTTCATTCTTGATAACTGATTTACCCAGAGTAAGATCACTGCCCCTCTGTTTCTAATCGACTAAGGAGATCATTTAGGGAGACCACGGCACCATAGTATTTGAGCACCTGCGGGGCATTGGATACACGACTGTATCAGTAAACTGGGCTGAACTAAAACGCGTTCAACAAACAACAAAAACTGACATCATCTAACATTAGAGTATAAAGTAAATCTAACATCTGATTATAAAGTTATGGGATTCGCTTATGCCTCTGCGGATTACATCTACTAACTACTGTTTACCAGGTAAAACATGACTGATTTATGAAGTTACTCTGAGCGGTAACGGATTACAGTAGCCTCGGGTAACATAGGATGCATCCATTTACAGAGCAGAGGTTGACAAGAGCCTGGGCTCAACTGTACTTTGGCCCCATTGCAGATCTTCAGCGTGAGCGAGTACTTCTTCGTAAGAACAAGTAAAACAATATTTCTTAGCATTAAATGATCCGTTTTAACTGCGTTATTTTTTTAAAGTTTGTTTCAGCGGTTATTTAGTTAAGTTCATTGTAAATACCTTTAACAAAATAACTTAGATTTCGCTTTAAAATAGCCCTCGCCATCGGTACTTCAGGCACGAAGAGCTAGAAATCTTCAACCTTCATCAAAAAATTGTTTTGTTAGATGACAGACGAAATCTCGATGAAAAAGTCAGTTGCCGCAAAGTACGAGATCCCTCACTCGACGCTTTTCGTAAAACTTGAATTAACCAGGTCTTACGGTTTTAGAAATGACTGCAGTTAGTTTTCACGAGAAGCTTCAAAAAGGGAATTTTGACACAAGAAAACAAGAACATTTTCCCAACATTATGAGAAAAAGTTGCAAGTCTGGAGTAATAGGAACATGCAATGAAACTGAGTATTATATCATCCGTCACTCGCATTTTCAAATAGGAACTTGCCTATACTGTAAAGCAAGGTACTAGTAGCACTCATGCCGGTAACGGTTGACAATGACAAATGTCATTCTTTACGGACTGAAATAAAGAAATAAATATACAAGACCGAACGAATGCAACTTCACTTACACCCACCCATGCACTCTCCACTTTTTTACCCGAATCTTCATTTTGCGTTTAAAAGGTAGACAGTATGATGAAAACGATTTCGCCATGCTTTATTGGGCTTTAATATACATGGTGATCTGACCCTCGCCATTCCCTCTCAAGAAGCAAACACTAGTAATGAAATGGATAATCGGAGTCGCTACAGTAGATCCGGCTTAAAATTAAGGCGCGACTTATTAGGTCACAGGATATTCAAATTATCGGCATCTACTTAGGCCATATCTATCACTTCACAATTATCGAACGGCTGAAGACAGGCAATGTGCAGATTAAGATACCTTATGAGAATTCATACTGAGTCTATGCAGTAGATCCGACCACATCACGAGCGTCGATGTGGGCGTTTAACAATGCAGTGGTAACAGGGTCACACAAAACAACATCGTTGTGCCATTATGGCTAATCGGCATAGAAGGCGATTCGGAGTAAAAACAAGATTGGTGGATTAAGACTCACCATTGATATCAATTTCAAAAGAAAACGTGCCAAAATATTATGCAATTCATAGTTTCTGAACAGTGGATAGACATAGCTGCGTTAGACCGATAAAGGCAGACTGTAGTTGACAAAGCCGAAGGAACAATAAGAAAAGAATTTACGATTGTTTAACAGCACGACTTGAAGAGGACACAAGCGATAATGGAGCAAACCGAGTACCAGGTAGATTGATTACGTAGCTTCAAAATTATTACAGAAAACAAATCAGAGCTTTATATATAAAAGGCGGAGAGCGAGTAGGGATCAAAGAAGGAGATCACACAGCAGGGATGCAGGGAGAAGCATGATGAAGTGCAGAGTGCCGAAACATTGTAATCGTGAATGTCTGTCAAGAACCTTGAAACGCTGCGTTGATGAGGTAACGGTTACCGGAACTGATGTAATTACTTACGTTTTAAGGCAAGTTTTCCAAAGAGAAGAGCACCGTATCACATACCGGGTTGAGGAATTTGGGGCTATGGTTCGTATTAGTTTTCAAACTATGATTTAATCATACCTACGGTTTGAGCAGTTTGATCATCCGGCCTCTGGTTTGAATGGAACAAGAGAACTCATGAATCAGACGACAATTAACAGATCCCAATGATGTCATAACGCAACAAAAAAAAATTCTCACGCCACGTGGATTGTTAACCTGCACATGATAAATCTGATTCAATTACACTTACGTCATCATCTCTCGAATAAAGCATGCCATTTGTAAATGTCAAACAAATCAGGGGCCTCACGAGAACAACAAATCATCGAATGTCAATCGATCAGTGCCAAAAAAGTAATTTTAAAAGCAAAAAGCGCGAACTTCGTTCGCATGAACAACCGATAATTTTGTTGACACCGCCCTTCGGCAAATCGCTGATCGATATCGATACAAAAAAATAGCAAAAAACTTTCGACGCGCAGCTGGGAATTTTCAAACGCTGACGTATATAATGAATACAGAATGCAGAGAGACCCCAATTTTACTCCCATACTTTGCAATATTCTAGCTTCTTATATTGCGGCCTTGTTCCTTTAAACTGGTACAAACAAACTGAAAGTTTACACCGATTAACAACTGACATCTATCTAACTGCTCAAACTACGCTGAAAGAATGTCTTAGACAAAAATATCATCCGCCACTTACAAGACCCATCATCATGTACAAACTGAAAGATCCGGATGTAAATTATTGTTCATGAACCT